CTACCACGTACTAGTGCTACAGTACAATTGTCTTCACTGAAGCTACCACGTACTAGTGCTACAGTACAATTGTCTTCACTGAAGCTACCACGTACTAGTGCTACAGTACAATTGTCTTCACTGTAGCTACTACGTACTAGTGCTACAGTACAATTGTCTTCACTGAAGCTACCACGTACTGGTGCTACAGTACAATTGTCTTCACTGAAGCTACTACGTACTAGTGCTACAGTACAATTGTCTTCACTGAAGCTACCACGTACTAGTGCTACAGTACAATTGTCTTCACTGAAGCTACTACGTACTGGTGCTTCAGTACAATTGTCTTCACTGAAGCTACCACGTACTAGTGCTTCAGTACAATTGTCTTCACTGAAGCTACCACGTACTAGTGCTACAGTACAATTGTCTTCACTGTAGCTACTACGTACTAGTGCTACAGTACAATTGTCTTCACTGTAGCTACTACATACTAGTGCTACAGTACAATTGTCTTCACTGTAGCTACTACGTACTAGTGCTACAGTACAATTGTCTTCACTGTAGCTACTACGTACTAGTGCTACAGTACAATTGTCTTCATTGAAGCTACCACGTACTAGTGCTACAGTACAATTGTCTTCACTGTAGCTACTACGTACTAGTGCTACAGTACAATTGTCTTCACTGTAGCTACCACGTACTAGTGCTACAGTACAATTGTCTTCACTGAAGCTACCACGTACTAGTGCTACAGTACAATTGTCTTCACTGAAGCTACCACGTACTAGTGCTACAGTACAATTGTCTTCACTGAAGCTACTACGTACTAGTGCTACAGTACAATTGTCTTCACTGAAGCTACCACGTACTAGTGCTACAGTACAATTGTCTTCACTGAAGCTACCACGTACTAGTGCTACAGTACAATTGTCTTCACTGAAGCTACCACGTACTAGTGCTACAGTACAATTGTCTTCACTGAAGCTACCACGTACTAGTGCTACAGTACAATTGTCTTCACTGAAGCTACTACGTACTAGTGCTACAGTACAATTGTCTTCACTGAAGCTACCACGTACTAGTGCTACAGTACAATTGTCTTCACTGAAGCTACCACGTACTAGTGCTACAGTACAATTGTCTTCACTGAAGCTACCACGTACTAGTGCTACAGTACAATTGTCTTCACTGAAGCTACCACGTACTAGTGCTACAGTACAATTGTCTTCACTGAAGCTACTACGTACTAGTGCTACAGTACAATTGTCTTCACTGAAGCTACCACGTACTAGTGCTACAGTACAATTGTCTTCACTGAAGCTACCACGTACTAGTGCTACAGTACAATTGTCTTCACTGAAGCTACTACGTACTAGTGCTACAGTACAATTGTCTTCACTGAAGCTACCACGTACTAGTGCTACAGTACAATTGTCTTCACTGAAGCTACCACGTACTAGTGCTACAGTACAATTGTCTTCACTGAAGCTACCACGTACTAGTGCTACAGTACAATTGTCTTCACTGAAGCTACCACGTACTAGTGCTACAGTACAATTGTCTTCACTGAAGCTACTACGTACTAGTGCTACAGTACAATTGTCTTCACTGAAGCTACCACGTACTAGTGCTACAGTACAATTGTCTTCATTGAAGCTACCACGTACTAGTGCTACAGTACAATTGTCTTCATTGAAGCTACTACGTACTAGTGCTACAGTACAATTGTCTTCACTGAAGCTACCACGTACTAGTGCTACAGTACAATTGTCTTCATTGAAGCTACCACGTACTAGTGCTACAGTACAATTGTCTTCATTGAAGCTACCACGTACTAGTGCTACAGTACAATTGTCTTCACTGAAGCTACTACGTACTAGTGCTACAGTACAATTGTCTTCACTGAAGCTACCACGTACTAGTGCTACAGTACAATTGTCTTCATTGAAGCTACCACGTACTAGTGCTACAGTACAATTGTCTTCATTGAAGCTACCACGTACTAGTGCTACAGTACAATTGTCTTCATTGAAGCTACCACGTACTGGTGCTACAGTACAATTTTTATTACTGTAGCTAATGTAGGCCCTATACAGCAAGACCTGTGTTAGAATTGATCTCCAGCAACCCAAGCTTGTTGTAAGAGGCGACTAATGGGATCGGGTGGTCAGGCTCACTGGCTTGGTTGATGCATGTCATTGTATCCAAATTGCGTTGATCGATGCTTATGATGTCAATCACTGGATTGTCTGGTCCAGACTGGATTATTTACAGACCTCCGTCATATCGCTGGAATATTGCAGAGTGCGGCGTTAAACAACAAACATCATCATCATATCACAGCGCACAGATCACTCATCAGGTGAAGTAAAGCAACGTCGGTCTCGGAGAGTAGTTGGATTGGTGACCACGTTCAGTAGCTTGACTCCTGAGAGTTTCTAGGGCTTTGGTTCCTGCCCCACACTGAAGCACATGTACCACACATGGTGTCTCCTTAGGTAAGTGACTTTGTTGGAAATGTGCCTCTGCTCACCCAGCAGTGAGTGGGTACCCGGTAGGATGTGATGGTAATGTGGCTGTTAACCTTCTAGCACCTCACAGGCAGCTTGAGTTGTATACTCCCCAGGGAGCTGAGAATGAAAATCGAGTGCTCACTGATCCATTGACTGGGGTAATGTAAGCGCCACGAGCACACGAGCTGGTATGGAGTTTGGCGCTATACAAATGGACTCATTATTATTATTATTATTATTATTATTATTATTATTATTATTATCATCGAATTACTGTGTCTTAGAAGACCAGACACACATGCACAAAAGTTGAGTTAAAAAAAAACAACTATTAAAGTGTAGATTCCACCCTTGCGCTTTCAAGCAGACTTTTCTGTGCTAAAGCAGACATGCTCGGTAGATGCTATTGCATGTATCAAAGTCAAATTGGAGATAGCTTGTTTGTTGTTTAACGCTGCCGTCATCAATTTGCCAGATGTATGACAGCAGACCGCAAATAATCGAGTCTGGACCAGTCAAACCAGTGATTGGTATTATGTACAAAGTTCCATGCCGGCAAGGTACTATAACGCACAATCAACCAAGTCACCGAGTCAGACCACTAGATCAAATAAGTCGCCAAGTATGACAAGTATAGATTACTGACCTATTGCTACCTGGTATTTCCACGGACGAATATTATTGTGACACATACCATGCATACCAATATCTTCTTTACAAACACTGGTATCCTTCTCTCATCACAAAAGTGTTGTATCTAAAGATGCCTATTCCCTCAGCTAGCCCATCTCATCATTTCCTTCTTTATTAACAGCACTATTCTTCGTAAAAACAATCATGTATATTTTGTTGTTTGTTTGTTGTTTAATTTCGGAGCGTAAATAAAATTTTGTTTGTTTGTTGTTTAACGCTGACTCAAAAATAATCCAGTCTTGCTGAAGACCTATTCTAGTCGCCTCTTACAACTTCAAAGTTACCTGCCTGCATTCAGACAATATTGAATTTCAATGTATCCTTGTATTCTGTGTTTTCAAGACCATAAGTATTTCTGATTATGTGTCTTAATATCAATCCCAATACACCAAAATTAAGACTAGAATGACAAATGAAAGCGTAGTTACTTCCTTTCATCCACCATTAATAACGGATCGCCGACGACAGTATGAGACAAATCATAAAAATAAGAGACAAATCATGTCTTGATTCGACCCATGAAGATTCCGGGGTGGAATAGGTCTTCAGCAACCCATGCTTGCCGTAAAAGGTGACTATGCTTGTCGTAAAAGGCGACTAACGGGATCGAGTGGTCAGGCTCACTGACTTGGTTGACGCATGTCATCGATCCCAATTGCGTGGATCGATGCTCATGATATTAATCACTGGATTGTCTGGTCCAACTGGATTATTTACAGACCGCCGTCATATAGCTTGAATATTGCTGAGTGCGGCGTAAAACAACAAACCAACCAACCAACCATGTCTTGATTCAGTTCAAATAATGCAAACAATTACTTGAGAATCTAGGAGGAATACTGACGATGAAAGTAGTCTTCAAATGATCTGGCAGACAGTCGGGAGGGGGAGGCAAATGTCATGCAGCCCCACAGAAGAGTCACCAGCCAGGGGCCAGCGGTTATCTTGGACACTGGCAGGAAAGAACTGGCACAGGCTCTTAGGCTATTACCTCCCCGGGGAAAAACTGTCTCGGATTGGGGGGGCGGGTTTCGGATTGGATGGCCCCTCGACTTGGCTGATAATGTGTCAAAGTGCACTGATTGTGTTGATTGATGCTCACACTTTAGTCACTGGTTTGCCTGGTCCAGACTTGATTATTATTTACAGATAATGCTGACTGTGGTGATAAACCACATTTACTCACTCACTTTGAAGTCTGCAGTAGGCCTTCAGTAGGCCTACATTAGCCACTGTCATATACATTTTACTAATATTTGTTGTTGTTTAATACCTCACTCAGCAATATTACAGACTCGAGTCTGGACCAGACAATCATGTGATTGATATCAGGACCATCGATTTACACAATTGGGATAGGCTGATATGCATCAACCAAGTCAGCTGCAGAGAGCCTGACTGCCCGATCCCATTACTCGCCTCTTACAACAAGCATGGGTTGCTGAAGGCCAATTCTAACACAGCTCTGACACAGGTCTCGTTGTATAGGGGCCTACATTAGCTACAGTAATAAACCTTGTACTGTAGCACCAGTAGCCACAATGATAAACATTGTACTGCATCACAAGGGACTATTTCCACGGTCTGATGAATCACCGTCATGCACTGGTGAACAATTTAAGTCAAGGTCTAGAACATTACATGTACCCTGTGTAAAACTTAGACATTGTTTTGTGTAACCGCCAGATAAACAACATAAATGTCACTCGGCAAGCACACAAAAAACGTTTTTTTAATTACTTCAATCTAACTACCAACTGTTCCTATTATATTTGTTTATGACCAATCGTAGTTTTTAATTCTGTTACTTACCATAAGTTGGCATAATAGTATCCATGAATGATCTCCGATTTTTTTTCTTAGTACCGCTCCGCTCGTGCATAGTGAAACTGTCCTGTTGACAACGGCGTTCGTGTTGAAAATGAACTCGAACGTAGTCGAAACTTCGACTCCCCCAAACTACTCAGTTAAAAAACGTTACACCTCGCAACTGTAACTGTGGATTCGGCACGAAACGGGAGTATTTTTACAATGTCCAGCAACGTTTGTACTCGGACAGTTTGACACTAAATTTTTGCGGTTGTCACCCGTGACGAAATCGACTCTCTCACGGATTAGCAAGTCAACAAATGGCTACGAAAATTCAGCTAATCTGCTCCACCTAAGATATGAGAGGTGTGTCTGCCTCCTAGCAAGGAACACGCTGATTGGGATGGGGGATTACGAAATGAAGGACTATTGATCGTACTAATCAACTGCAAGCAATACATTACCTGACAATCTTGCTGTCAAATACAACTGATCACTTCCTAAATGGAATTTACTTCCTCGTTTACAGCCTGGGGAGAAATGAGAGTTACCTCCCCTGACGCAATGAAGGGACATAATAAAAGCGTTAGGCTATTTTTGCAGCTTTATTGTTTTCAAAACAAATGTGTTGGGGGTAAATGTTATTGATATTTCGAAGACTTTCAAATTTATTGAATTAAATAATATATTGTATTATGTTCGTGATTCGTATAACTTTTTTTTAATTGCCTATGAACCTAAAATACGCCCTCCAGGTTAGAACCCTGCAACCCCTATTCAACCTGCTGCGGTTCTTGTTATATATTAACTGTCGGGTAAAGAAAGTACACCGAATTTGTTTTTTACGTAATTGAAGTGGAAAGAACTGTTGTTAAATTTGATCATGTCTCTTTAACCATCTCTTATTCCTGCAACAGTTTGTAAAATGTAATCTGTGGCTGGGTAATTTGAAGACCGTGATAAGAAATTAATTTGAAACCACATGACACCAACCATACAGGAAATGTTGTAAATTTGCGCCGATAAATGCGAATTTATTTATTTTCAAAGTTACGATGTCTAAGATACCCATCAGCAGATGTGTTTTATGCGATTATTTTGTCATTTTAAAAAGTTTTAAATGATTTTTTTTATTTAAAAAAAATAATGAAATAGTTTTCTTGGAGTGCTGACTAAGCGCCAATACAGTCGATGTTTTGGATATAATATCGTTAACTTAAGATATTTTCAAATGAAAAGCAAGCCTATGATAAAATCAATTGAGGTGTATAGTTTCTTTCGCTCCTCGGTTCAGTAACAGTCAGTGGAATACATCGATTATTTTGCTTTAAGTCTTGGAATAGCACTTGAAAGTGATACACATAAGGAAGAGAATTTATGGATGTCAACTTCTTTATCACGAGGAACGCAACGTTTCGGAGTATATACTTACTCCTTCTTCGGGTCACCAGTCAATGTTAATTTAAGTCCTGGCTTCCATTTGTCCTTCGCTATCAACTATCAGCGCTAATTAACTGTTAAGTGTTGGTTTCCATTTGTCCATTGCTAATCACCTATCAGCGCCATTATCTGTTGGCTTATCTTTTTAGTTTCCACCTTTGTTATCTTATTACTGTTGTTGTTCTTACATGTACATATATGTCATTGTGTTCTCTGCCTCATGGCTTTTATTCACCTGATGAAGAAGAAAGTATCAACGATGTGTTCCTCATAATAAAGAAGTTGGCATCCATAAATTCTATTCCTTATTTGTCTTTGTTTTTGTGAAAAAGCAATACATAAAATTTTGTTGTGTCTATGCATGGGACTTTGAACTCTATATCAACTTTTGTGGGGTATTTATTACTATCACCAGGCAGCATGTCAAGGAAATGAACACAGAGTTGAAGACAATGGCTATATATCATATCCATATTGGCGTATAATCAAACCTTATAGACACACCTATAACTCCTTTACATACTAACATAAAATAATGAAACCACCTGCCGGTGGTGATGTTTTTACTATTACTCATACGCGCTTGCCGTTTTGCGCGATTTCCGTAATTGCCAAGACACAAATAGACATAAATGAGGATTCTTGAAGCTTGTCGTGGGCTTAAAAAAAGTTAAATGCGATTGCAGAACCATTTTAAGAAGTGTCAAAACAATCATTGACACGTTGTTAGCTCTTGTTAATAACAGCCTTAAAGAGAGGAGGGCGTATTTGGGGTCGGCTTTAACAGTGGTATTGACATAAGTGCCTTCTGAACGAAATAAACACCAGTCTGTTTTAGCCCCGGTCGTCACTTCGCGTTTACTTACGAACGCCAAAGGAATTTTGAAATGTATCATTTGTTTTTATAAAGTAGTTTCATTGAATGTGTGCCAGTTGATAAGACAAGCGATGACACCCTCTGAAATCTAAATAAAATAACATATCAAACATTCAGCGAAAGCTCCATCGTTCCACAGGTTTTTATGTTTGAACGGGATGGTCAAGTCATACAAGGCGTCGCATGTCGCTGTGCAGAGTTGAACCGCTTCAGCGTCCCGAAATCGTGGGCTCGAGTGAGTGACTGAGTGAGTGAATGAGTTGGGTTTAACGCCACTTTTAACATTATTCCAATTATATCACGGCGTGTCAGCTTAATGTGGGAGGAAAGCCCGAAGTGATGCAGGTCTCGGACGTTTATCACTTCGGTGAAACCCACGAGCACGGGTATGGTGCTGACAAACCTAGAAACATAGTTGGGGGGAACCGGGATACGAACCCACAATCATAGGTTTCTGTCGTGTCCAAGGGACGCAACTCTGCACAGCGAATCGCGGCGCCTTAGACGACTGGGCCACCCGTGCCCCCTCGTGGGTTCGAGACCCGGACCGCCTTGAGTATGCATCTAGGTTTATCAACACCATACGGCCCTCATGGGTTTCACCTAAGGGGTGTACATCAAGGATCTTAATCACCTTAGGCTATTTTCCCAGATCAAGCTCACACGCCGTGATATAACTGCAACACCGTTCAAGGGACGTTAAACCCAACTCACTCACTCACTCGACTCGGATGGGATCACATAAACAATACAAACCTGTTCATTGGAAATTTATTGTCCTGATCAATTCGGAAATGAAAGATTGCCTTGAATATGAACCTGCTGACTTCGGGGTCATTCGGGCTACAGCTGCTGTATAATCAATCATTAAGTCCTTTATATACGGTATTGGAGACAGACATCATTTGTAAAGGATGAGAGAGTGTCAGAATGTTGTATTAAGCATTAGTTGACAGTTGACCACGACCCATTTTGCCTCACACGACAAACATATGCATATATCTCTTAGCGACGCCCTCAGGGGTCCAATGGATTTCAACGCTCTAGGCGTTAGCCGAGATGGTTAAATCTATATCACCCGGAGAGCTTGAAAACATTACCCATACAAATTGTTTCCCTGTCTTACGGGTTCAGTGGCCTGTATGTGTTTGCATAAATTCTTTAAGGGGCACGGGTGGTCCAGTCGTTTAAGGCTCCGCAATTCGCTGTGCAGAGTTGCGTCCCTTGGTCTCGCCAGAAACCTATGATTGTGGGTTCGAATCCCGGTTCGCGCCGATTATGTTTCTATGTGGCAGCACCATACCCATGCTCGTGGGTTTCACCGAAGTGGTAAACGTCTGAGACCTGCATCACTTCGGGCTTTCCTCCCACATTAAGCTGACACGCCGTGATATAACTGGAATACTGTTAAAAGCGGCGTTAAACCCAACTCACTCACTCAGTCCTTTTCAAATGAAAACTGAGCCATGTGGTAAAAATTTACTTGAAAACTGACTGAAATCATGAGCACCTAGCCATCTTTGTGTGATGATCCTTTATATAGCTTATAACTTGTATACCATGCAACGCGGGGCGATGGGGTAGCCGAATGGTTAAAGCGTTCGCTCGTCATGCCGAAGGCCCGGGTTCGATTTCCCACATGGGAACCATGTGTGAAGCCCTTTTTTTGCGTCCCCCGCCGTGATATTGTTGGAATATTGCTAAAGCTGCCTTAAAACCACTCACTCACTCACTCATGATATTTACTGATTGCATTTTTTCATTTCCTGATATCATTAAAGGAATAATATCATTAAATAAATCCTGATACACATGAAAAGAATAAATCATCAGTTAATGGTATATGTAAAAAACGCCTTACAATTCGCTTTGAAGCTTGTGAATAGAACTCAATACAATATGGCAGGAAACTTTATTTCCCCGAAGCCTGGAATTTTTCTGATTTCTGTATAGTCAAAGATGTTCTTGTTCAACATGATTTAGCGATCTAATCGTGTATAAGACTTGCTTAAAAGCGTGTATGTCGTGGCATTGTCCGTGCAGTGAGCGTTTCCTGACACCGGAGTGGGTCGTGACGGTCAAGATGGCAGGATGGATGAATCAAATGTCTTGTCGTGTTTCTGCTTCTCCGAGTATCTTCCCGCATGTCAGTGATTGTACAGTGTAATTTCCCTTTAGGTGAGATCGTGTTTCCTTAGCACTCGGTCAAATGTCAATGGTGTATTGTTACCAGACACGAATACAGTGTAGTCGATAACCGTTTTGCTTTCTATCCATTGACTTTCGTCATATATCCACATTTGATGTTTATCCCAGTATTCTGTGCTTGTCATAAAAGCCGAGGAGGGGCCATGAAAGAAACAGCGAAAGAGGGGTGGGTGTCACAACATTTTTCTTTTGTTTATTATTTATTTATTTTTTCAACAACAAAAATATTTTATTTTATATATCTATTTAATTTTATTTATTTATTCTTATTTTATTTATGTTTTTGGGGTTTTTTTTTGGTTTTTTTGGTTTTTTGTTGTTGGGTTTGTTTTTTGTTGTTTTTTTTTTGGGGGGGGGGGGGTTCACTTCTATTTATTTCAATAAAAAGGTTATATATTTGAATATTTCTATTTTGGGACCAGTCACCTCAAAACCACCCCCACCCCCACCCACCCACAACCACCCACACACACCAATTACCAGTCCCTAACCGCATCAACAGGCCCTTGTGTCGTTGCTTAAATATTTCTTGATTAAAATCAGTGTCAGCCACGCACTAACCTACATATATGTCTCTTTCTATATATATAGGGTAGTGTTATTTCTGACACTTGTGATATTAATAGATCTAGAAATATTTAAGCAACGACACAAGGGCCTGTAACTGGGTCGCCACACAGCGCTTTGTGGATGGAGTTGCGTCCCTTATGCGTGTCAGGAACGAATATGATCTTGGGTCTTAATCCCTGTTCGCCTAGATTTTATTTCTTGGTTTAATTGTCAGCAAAAGTGTTGCAACTGACAGACTGCCCAAAGCGGCGTTTACCAAACGCACTTAGTCACAGTAATATTTTCTTTAACCACAGGACCATGTATCTC